TTTTTTTCTATTTAGAATTATTAAAAATATTCAAAGAGTTTTAAAAAAAATCAAGACTTACTGATGGACTATGCGAAAGATGAAATGGAAATTGTCACTCTTTAAATTCACGTGTTTCTATATTCATTCAAAACATAACAAGATAGCTTATTGGATATTTTAGTAGCGTAGGAGGATTTTTAAAGCGCCAATCGGTCTGAAAGATTTTAAAAATTGAATTTCGTCCAATCGTGTATTTGCTACTTAAAAAAAAGCAATAGCAGTTTAAAATAACGTTAATGCTGATTGGCGGATATAAGATAATAAATAATGAATGGAAAGGAAAAGGCATATATAGATATATGCATAAAAAATTAAATATATATTAAAAAAAAAATTATTGCTTAACTACCGGAAGTACGCAAATAGTAATTGAAATACATAAAATACTTCAATATTTGTGTTTCATTCAAAATATTAATATAGATTTAATACAGTATAAACAATACTTTCTATATTTACGGTATGTTAATGCATAACGCATAATAAAGAAAAAGTAAAAGTAAAGATTTGTTTTATTATTATTATTATTATTTGTATAGGTTGTCCTATATAAAATCGTCTCACTCACTGGAAATAATACAAATGAATTTAGGTAATATAGGCTAATATTTCATGAAGATTTTTCTATAAAATTTATATAAATTATGTTTCGTTGTCTCAGTACGGCCGATTTTAAATGGGACATCCTATAGTTATGTTTATATATAGGCCTACATACATGTATTACCATGTTTAAATGGATGAATGATATAAAATAAATAGGAAAAACGGTGTGGTAATAAGATCTTCACTCGAATCCTATCCAACTCGGTGTGTCTGTGTATAGAATTTCTATCACGTTTTAAACCGGAGAGTCCAGCATACGAATGCCAATTACTCATTATTATTTATTTATTTATTTATTTTAACGAAAAGAGTGAATGGAATATCTAAATTAATAGTATTTTTATGGAAGAGAGAGGGAACCTATGAAATATATTGATTAAATTATTAGATATTTTAAAAAAATAACTAATTAGAATAATACTATTGAATTAATTTTATATAAAGAATTAAACTGGTTTTAATATTTATATTTATAATTATGTAATTAAGAGGCGCTTGGTTGGAAAATGAAAAACATCGTCACTAAGTTTTTAAGATAAACAGCCTGACATGATCTATATTTAACTGCAGACATCATTAAGAATTGTAATGGACCTGTCTCCTACTTTCTTTTAGATATAATATGGTATGTGTCAATAAGGATACCGAGAAATGTTTGCAAAACGACACTCTGTTATTATATAATACGAGTATAAAAATTACATAATTTCGTTACTTTGTATGACAAAGTAATCAGAATAATGTTTAGAAAATGACGGCTGTTCCTAGTGATAAATTTATTATATATAATATAGACTTACTGTGCATTTATTTGGTTTATCTCCTGTGTGTACTCTCATGTGGCTTAGTAGCTTGTATCTGGCATTGAACGGTCTCTGTTCACGAAAACATCCTTTCCAATAGCAAACGAAATTGCGTTGATCGACGTGGGCCGATTCGATATGTCTGACCAAATCATTTCTTTCTTCGAAATGTTCACCGCAGTCGATCCAACCACAATTCAAAATTTCTTTATTTTCTTTCGATTCGTTCGAATTTATTTTCGGTTTCAATTCGATTTTGGTAGGAAAATGAGCAGCCATATACTGATCGTAAGAAGGAGGAGGAGGCCTATTTTGAATAGGCGGTGGTATAGGAAAAACTTGAGAGCAATCTTTGTTAAGATTACCATTTTGAAGAATACATAGATTATTAGACTCTGGCAAAAACAAATATTGATCTTCGTACTGCGATATCGAACTAATTCGTCTTCCAGAGTTATTCGAATGTGGACTAGCGCTATTTCTAGCATTTAAATGTCCATAGCAGCCAGGTTTTTCTCCCGGTGAAGGTGATAAACTATTAGAAGAGCATCTGGAAGATGGTAGAAACACCAAAGAAGTAGGTGACGTTCGAATGATAGCGTTGAGTTCTGCAGATAAAGGTGATATAGAATGAGATCTTTTATTTCCCCTACCTGTAAAAGAAGAACGAGAAGTTGCTAGAGACAGGGGTGAACTACTCGGAGGCATTTCTTTATTCGTAGACACGGGTGGAAGAACGGGATAAATATTCCAGTTGTCTTGATCTTCTTGTAAATAACTATACAAATCACTGAAAGATAACGTTTGAGATTGAGGAAATAAATCAGGCAAAATTTGATTTTGAGGATTACTATTATTATCTTCGAAAAAATTCTCCGATTCTAAAATCGTATTTAACACTTCTTCGTGGCAATAAGGTTCCGATAAAAGAGTTAAATCGTCTTGATAATACGAAGCAAATTGAGTTTCGTCAGCGGGTGTTGGTATCACGGCTGATTCAATGAAAGGTCCAACAGTGGTGGTTTCTGCCGAACAGTCATTCGAAGTGACTGGATCTAAATGCATTTCTGAGTTTACTGGTTGACAAGTCTTTGATATCTGTTCGTTAAACACAGCTGAAAAAGAGAACAGAGATGAGAGTTTTTTTAAAAAAAATTTAATCCATATAATCGCTGATTCATTCTTTTTTATACATTTACGATGGTATTAAATATCCATAAAAAATGTTTCATGCTGTTAAATATAGGCTAAACGGAGATTTATTTAATAAATAAAAAGATAATTTTTTTTTGTTAGAATATTGCATAAATAATTCCACACATTTCTCATTTTTATGTTTAGTTAAAATGATGTAAATAATATTGCTATTGTAATAGAAATTGCACAGTAATAGAGCCTAAATATAAATATATTTTTTTTTCTATTTAGAATTATTAAAAATATTCAAAGAGTTTTAAAAAAAATCAAGACTTACTGATGGACTATGCGAAAGATGAAATGGAAATTGTCACTCTTTAAATTCACGTGTTTCTATATTCATTCAAAACATAACAAGATAGCTTATTGGATATTTTAGTAGCGTAGGAGGATTTTTAAAGCGCCAATCGGTCTGAAAGATTTTAAAAATTGAATTTCGTCCAATCGTGTATTTGCTACTTAAAAAAAAGCAATAGCAGTTTAAAATAACGTTAATGCTGATTGGCGGATATAAGATAATAAATAATGAATGGAAAGGAAAAGGCATATATAGATATATGCATAAAAAATTAAATATATATATTAAAAAAAAATTATCGCTTAACTACCGGAAGTACGCAAATAGTAAGTTTTTATCGCTTACAACTTTTTATTATGCTTTTATAGAAGTAGTTTTATTTGTTAGAAAAATTTCAATTAAAAAAAAATTATAGTCTCTTTTAACGTTACAAAACTGCTTAAAATATTATGAAAATATACAAATTTTAAAATTTTGTGTGCATTTTTAATTATATTATATATGAATAATCTTTAAAGTGAATTAATACTTGCACGCCTGTAAGATAATTAATTGCATAACTAATACAATCAATTATCTTGCAAACTAAGCAATTCTTTATCTTAAAAAATATGCATAAAAATATAGCGAATATTCACTTTTTAAGAAATAAATACATTCTATGCAATACTTATTTAATTAGGCAAATTCTTATACTGTTTTTGTAAATTATAGGCGCATAATGCGGAGAAATATGTGCTTATGAATGAAATATTCTTGAATAAAAATCTGAATAACTATAAGTTATTTAAATAAAATTGCTTTACCAGTCGACCCCCCTATAACACTGTTGATTTTTCCGTTTTATATGGATTCCATGTTGTACGAGTCACTTAGATTTTACAAATACGTAACCAGTTCACACGTATTTGTAAAATCTAAGTGACTCGTACAATATGGAATTCATATAAAACGGAAAAATCAACAGTGTTATAGAGGGGTCGACTGTATATGCTTTTTATAAACTTGCATTTTCTCTACCTTTAAAACATAAGAGTAACACTAGAGAAAAATGTAATAAACTATTCATATGCATTTATAAAAGTGAAATTTTACTTTAACTTATATCTTTATTGTAATAAACTTTTGTTTTCTTTACTCCCTATATTCATTATTTCACTTTTTACAGTTTAATTTGTAGTTGTTAAAATATAAATTAAAATCTTTA